TGTTCGTTACCATCTGGAATCACTTTGGCATGATACTTGCTGTGAGCCTAAGGCCAAACTGACATTCCTCTAAAAAGAGAGGAGTGAGGAGCACATTGTGGTTGACAAAGTGCCCAATTGCAGGAATCTCTCTGAAGTCAAAGAGAAATTGTCAAATCACCCTTATGTGCTCCATGTAATTGCTTTTTCATAGAAAGCAAGAACTTTTGTGGTGGAATTGAATTTTGATTATTTAAAGAGAGGGAATCAGTTGTTGTTTGGGAAAACATGGAACTGGACTAGATATATAACATGCAATGCTTATGCTGTTATTTCTAATGTTCTACTGCACTTTTGCTGTTTAATAAAGAGTAATGAGGTTTTAAAGATAGGTTTATAGAAACTGGTGAAAATATGGAACGAAGAAATGGTTTTATTGTAAGAAATAGTGATAAATGTTGATTATACTTGCTGGCAATGAAAGAGATAGAGTTTTTTTTCCTATCTTTTTCTTTTCTTCCTTTTTTTCCTTTTAAGCCCCTTTTATTTTTTTAATGTATATTTTTTGTAGCTGTATAAATTTTACTTGCATAATAAAACCCCCAATAAAATAATTGAAGAAAATGATATCACTTTGCCGTTGTTTCTTAAACTTGTCATGCTCTTAACATTAAAGACGACATGGTACCTGGTGTATCTATCAGGTTGATTCGATGGCCTTTCCAATCAAATGTGACAGCAGCAGATTGAATGGTAATGCCACGTTCCCTTTCCTGTGCCATGAAATCTGTTACTGTATCACCATCATCAACATCTGTTTAAAAGAAAGAGCATGTTTTTAATCAAATAACTTGAGCGCTTGGTAATATAGTAAGTGTTATAGAATATAATACCTGGTGATCAATTGATTACTTAGTTGGACAGGAAACCTATAATATGGTTTTTATTTACAAAACAATGACATCAGCCTCACCACTACCTATCTCTTGGACTAATGCAAGAAATTTAGGGTGACTATAACTACAACTATAAATAAATAAATATTGAAAGGGCCTTTTTAATTGCTATGGGGCTGGGGGGGAGGGTGGGGAAGATTGAAAAAGTAACTACAACGGTAATATTTGTCAGTATTTCATATTTTAAAAGCATGAGAATTACAAGCCAAAAAACACAACCCAGAGGGGAAGAAAACAGGGAAAGATGACAGAAAGCCAAGTAAAATGTTCATTTTTATTTGCAAAAAACAAACAAAAATGAGTTCACAGATCATGCTAACTCATAATGCTATTTGCTCAGGTCAGATACTTGTCTTAGCAAATCTCCAAAAACAACAGTCTTGCATTCCAACTTTCTCTGTCTCATAGTTTTCAAAGCCTATGAAAGGAACTTTGTAAGTTCACAGAAATAGCACTTTGTCTTAGTGTTGATAGCTGCCTCCCCTCTTTAAAAAAAAGTTCACCTCTAAGGTATAGGAAGGGGGAGCTGGCCAGCTGAACTCTTGAAAGGGATAGCAAAGATGGCAATAAATTAAGTGCAATTATATCTAGTTTACCTGAGATGTGGGATTTTGTTGAAAATGCTTAAACAGAAAGTTTAAATAAAATAAATGAAGAAAATAAAATAGATTTTAACTGATACAAAAAATAATTATTGCACTTATTTTTTTCTTATCTCTCACACCACTAACCTCCAAGGGTCCTTGTGTAACCAGAATAATAGAGCATTCTCTCTGTAGTTGTTGTTTTTCCTGCATCTATGTGGGCCATTATACCTATGTTGCGGATCCTGAAGAAAAAGACAATGTTTTTTTTTTTTCATTTAGCATCAAGTTATCATTTTTAAATATAACATTATTACAATTTTACATACATATACAAAGAAACTATATATACCGAGAAATATACAAAGAAACTTTTCATCACAATCTAAGCGCATCTCACTATTCATAATTCTTAAAGGGAAATAAAATAAGTAGAGAATAAAATAACAATTAAACCCATTTTAGTTATAGCATAGCATGTTGAAATATTATGTCATGAACTATGTAAGAATTTTGGCTGAGTCTTTTCTGTTGTGGTCCTCACCCTCTGGGATATTCTCCCTCTGGACACTACACACCCCTAGCCTTCTGGAACAGCCTAAAAAACTGTCTTTGCTGCTTGGTTTGAGGGCCCCAACAGAGGCCTGGAACCTCAAAAGAGGCCTATTATGTCAGGGGTGACTGACTGGATAAAAAAGATCTCTACTCCCAGACCACCCATCATCCTGGATTTACCTTTTCTATTTAATCTAATTTTTCTAATTGTTTTCTAGCTATTTTTTACCTTTTATTATATTGTAGGCTGCCCAGTGTTGCTGTAGTAATAATTTAGGCAGCATAGAAATCTAATTAACAAATAAATAAATACATGTATAAGTGAATGATGGAAATAATTTGAAATACATGAAATGTTTTGATGAAAGCATCCTCTCTCTTCCTTCTTTTAAAATGCAAACATTTATATTTTTTAAAAATCAGCAAGTTAAAACCGGTGTGCAAGGTTTATTTCTTGATGAGCAACTTAACTCCTATCCAAGAACTTCAAAGTTAAATTGTCCATTTAATGTCACTATTAAAACCAAAATGAAAGACTTTACCTATATAAACTCTGATAAATGAACATAGAGAACGTTTTGAGTTAAAAATTGAAGAATTAAAACAGTATTTTTGTTAGTGGTGACTATGACTTGTCTGATTTAAAAAGTGTGAATGATACTTTCTACAAACCCATAGAAGAGCTTGCAAAGAAACAGAAAATGGCGAGGAACCTTAATTAATTGTTAATTAAATAATATCAACAGGCATCTGGTGGAAGACAAACTACCAATTTTTTCTTTCAGGAAATTGTTGGCTTTACTATAAATCATCTTGCATGGTGATGTTCACCTTCAGAAGGGGAGGATAGCACAAATGATCAGCTATCCCTGGTTTGATAATGATTAATGAGAACTAATTTGGGGGGGAAGTAGTATATATTGCCCCTTATACTCCATAAAGTGGATAAAGTAAAGTCCAAAGAATCAGTTTATCATTTTTTAAAATTTCCTTTAAAGATTGGCATAAAAACAAAAACAAAGAAAAATTGAATGTAACTTAATCATTTGTTGCCAAATGAGTTTTCCAGTCATATAACCAAGTAGTCTTGCTAGATTTTACATATTATATTTAAAAAAATTATTACTTACTTAGATATTGGTGGAGTTAAAACAGAACGTAAAGATTTTACTTCACCTGTGAAATAGAAAAGTTGTTGACATTTACATTTGTAGTTTTCTTAATAAATACAAAGCATCATGTTTACAGTACATGCAGGCTCCAACCAGAGTGCTCTTTTTTTCATTAAAAACAACACTGTCTACTCTAAAAATGGTACTTAATCTGGAATGTAAGAATGTCTAAATTCATTTTATCACAAAAAATATCAGGAATTAGACTTGATAATCCACTTAGCTATTTAGCAAATTGACTATATAACAGGCTCACAGAGGATTTATCCCCTATCAACAGTGCATGTGTAGATGTGTAGATATTGTGCAGCATGTATTCTGGATAAAATAATATTTTTACAGGATCATGTTAAATATTTTTTAAAATATTTCACAGAATATCAGGAAATAACTTGAAAAATTAGGAACTTTTTATCTTCTTCTGACTGCAGAATTCCACTGTTAAAAGAAAGCACTAACCATACAATATGTCTGAGTGAAAGGAAGGCAATATTCGAACTGGTACTACTATTTCTTTATCTTTATAGCAGTGTTATAAGCAATATAGATTTAGAATTACCTTTGTCAAGAAATTACCTGCTGGATGAATGTAATTTCTTTGAAGATTCAAAAAGTCTTTGAAGCATTTTATGGTGATAATTCTTGCTTTTCTGCAACGTGTACACTTTGAAGACAAAATACCCATCAAAACAGTCATTACTTTGAAATCTTTTTGTTAAAGCATTAACAGCATATCACATGTCACTAAAGAGAATACTAATTTATTCTATCTAGATTATATGGGGGCTCTTTTGTGATTACTGTTAGGCACCCAGAAATTATCCATAGTAATCAATCACTCCGAGACAAGCATAATCTCCATTTGATTTATTAGGAACAGCTCTACTACGTCTATGGAAATTTCCAAAACTGAAACTCATTCCCAGCGAGTCTCACAAATTTCACCCTATCTCCTCCCACATACTACACTTGATAAATCAGGAGAACCAATTAACTGCAGCTGGATGTTTTTAATGCAACGTAATAACCTTGAACTGTTCAACTCCCTCACCCCCCCCCCCCTTCATTGTTCACATATTTTCTTGTGGCAGCTGATCTCAGAGCTGACAATTACATTGCTGCACACACACACACACACGCGCGTACCATGAACCGCTATTTCATCCATGCAACATGAATTAATAGTTTTCAATTTCATACGCATATTGAAAAACCATGCCGTATAAACGTACCCCTTGCAGCGGGGGCACGATCATTTTTCTTGTACTGCGTAGCATATTCACCGACCAGCCTAACCATGTAAATCGCTGCTACCAAAAAAAAAAAAAAAAGGCTTATAGTGTCGATAGAAAGCACTTCGTGCTATGGAAATCGATGCACCAAACAAACCATACGACAACGCCACGGCTATTGGTCGTAACCAGATGCCCTTTGACAACCAAGGGTCCTCCAGTCCGCCTGAGAAGCTTCCGCTTTACTCCCCACGTGGAAGGCCTCACTTCCTTCGCGGTGGGCCTGCGTCTTTTCTTTCCCCCCTCCCTCCATGCGTTCCGGGAAGTATCCAAAAAAAAAAAAAAGTCCGCAACAGTTTCGTTTCGTTTTCCCTCAGCCGTTCATCTTTCCGTTTCAGACGGTCCGGAGCGGCGGGAGAGAAGCGGAATAGCCAAACAACATCAGAGCTCCTTCTTTTGTCGGCGGAACGGGGCGAAAGTGGAACTGGATATCAACCCGGACTGGTTTGACTGCTGCTCTTCCTTTTTCTTTCTGGCTCGAAAGCAGGTGGTTCTCTGCCGGCGTCTGCTTGGGCTTCGGGCGCCGATCTACAATGGTGAGGGGAGGTGGTCGACTGACCGTGGGCTTTTTTGAACGGGATGGGGGGAGGGGAGGCTTTGGAGGGAGCCAGGGAGCTGCCATGGGGAGGACCAAGAGAAAGAGGAGAAGCCGGTCCTCGGAAGTCCCCGCTTGTTATTCGTCGTTTATAATCCGGGCTGGTGGTAGCTCGGACTTCAGTCTCATCCTACGCATCGCTGAGGAGGCTGCAGCTCAGGGGTCCCCAAACTTGGCAACTTTAAGACTTGTGAACTTCAACTCCCAGAATTCTCCAGCCAGCACAGCTGGCTGGAGAATTCTGGGAATTGAAATCCACAAGTTTTAAAGTTGCCAAGTTTGGAGGCCTCTGCTGCAGCTGATCTCTATTGATCTCAGACATCTGGGTAGTCTTGCATTCTGCATTGCATTGTAGTTCACTATTACATCAACAAACGTCATTCTGCATTGCATTGTACTTCCCTGTTAACAACTGACGTCATTTTACAGCACAAGGTGCCTGCTTACTCTCTGGCTAATTCAAAAGCAGAAACAAATTAAAGCAGAACTAGGCAGTTAGGGACTCTTTAGCTGTTGATGAACTATCTTTTCCAGCAACGCCGGCTGTTCAGTGGATCGCAGACTCCTACATTTTTTACTAGAAATAATCTATTCTTTCTTTTTTGTATGTGTGTATTTCTCCTGGGCTGCATTTCGTATTTGTGCAGAATTGTATGCTTTCATGAATTAAAGTTCGTGTCTTTAATTGCATAATGCATTACAAAATGGAATAAATATATGAGGTACGAAATGCAAAATGATACCGTACACAAATTTGTTAAGAATCTTCAGCCGAATACAGGCAACTGCTATTCGTAAGCTAATTAACACTTGCAATAGCATAAACTATTTTTCACTTATCCAGTGATAGTCAAATGTTTCGTACTGGAGTTTCACTTTGAAATATTTTTGCGCCTGTTTGTTTAAAATAGCCAGAATGAAAACTGGAAATAAAATGGATGCATAGCTGAGGGTATTTTAAAGTGGCTTTTTAAGATAGATTTAAATTTGTTACTAGACTAAATATGAATGGCAATATGTAGTGATCGGTATAATTTTAACAGTTTAATTTCTAAACTTTTATCTAATTCACAGCCACAAAACGAATATATAGAGTTACATCGGAAGCGATATGGCTACCGCTTGGATTACCATGAGAAGAAAAGGAAGAAAGAAGGGCGTGAGGCTCATGAGCGTTCAAAGAAAGCCAAGAAAATGATAGGATTAAAAGCTAAACTGTATCATAAACAGCGCCATGCAGAGAAAATACAGATAAAAAAGACGTGAGACAACTTTTATGATAAAGACTTTGATATAATATTGTACTGCTGCGATCTAGACTTATTAGAATGTATGCTGATTATTTTTGTGTATATCCATTGCTCAGACATTAGATACAATGACATTAATAGTTTTTTTAAGGTACCTATTAGGAAATGTGCTTCATGTTACAGTTCACAGTAATGTTGCATATTTTGCCTATAAGTAGTATGATTCCATATTATATTGTATCTATTGAAAAAGCTTTGGAAGCAATTTAAGATCTCTATTGCTAAAGCTATTTTCATTTGGCAGTGTTGCTGATTTAATGCTAGATTAATTTTGAAAAAAATATGAAAAGCATCTTCTTGTATCTATCTCTCTAGTATTAAAATGCACGAAAAGAGAAATACCAAACAGAAGAATGAAGACAAAACCCCAGAAGGCGCTGTACCAGCATATTTGCTGGATAGGGAGAGCCAGTCTCGAGCAAAAGTTCTTTCCAACATGATCAAACAAAAACGAAAAGAAAAAGCTGTAAGTCATGCATATGCTTAAATTAATATAATTTGCCAGAAAATTTGCTGTTGCTTTAAAATACTGATTTGCAAAATAATGGTTCTAGTATCCATTCTAGTTTGCACATATGATGGGGAGTTACTGGATTTGTCCAAAAATCTGAGGAAATGTTTTAATTTGCTTTGTACTGTATTTTTAAATCTCCAACTTTGAAATATGAATATATCTTTTTAAAACACCTGATTACTTGTGTTAAGCAAAATTAAATTGGTATACAGGAAATGGCTAGAAAACAAGGAATTAGCTTTTGCTGGGAAGAAATACTTATGTATTTTCTGTATTGTTCCCCTTCGTGGGAAGAATAACCATTTCTGGCTTTTTCAAAAGTGCAGTACAATATTTAATATAAATTCCTATTGCTCCACTCTCCAGTATAAATGCTAGGAATTTTATGTCATTCTGAGTATTGGAAGATTTCCTCTGCCTGTTGCAAAACCTATTTGGACACAATTTTCCAGTCTTAACATTCTCTTGATAGGAAGAACAAATAACAGTTGTCTATGCAATCAAACCACACTTTACAGATTACCCACACAGATAAAATCCAACTTGAGTAGTAGTAGATTATTAATTGATAATCCTTTCAAAGAAAATAAAATAGAAGTTCTAATTCCAGGTTAAAATAGATAAAAAGAAAATACAATAATAAAATATGTGGTAAATGCAATGAATCAGATAAATACATTTTCATGATACCCCAATCTGTTCAATATATGGTTCTTAGCTGGATTACCCTAACTCTAACCTTAGTATTTCTGCTTACAGTGTATATTTTACAGCCCAGAAGGAAATAGGACAATCTGTGATTCAATTCCCAGTGAGCTGTAGGACTGTTAAATAAACCTGAAAGGGACATACAGTTTATAATCAAACAAACCATTAGCAAAAGCCTCAATATTTGGGACACTGTCTACACTTCCTCAATGGCTTGTGATACAGATACAATTATTATTGTGTCAGACAAACTAGTATGTTACAAAATTATTGAAGCTGTGTGTGTCCATGTCCTTTCCGATCTTTTGCTCCCTAACATTACAAATTATTTTTAGGGGAAATGGGAGGTTCCTGTGCCCAAAGTCCGGGCCCAGGGAGAAACGGAAGTGCTGAAAGTGATTCGCACAGGAAAACGAAAGAAGAAGGCTTGGAAAAGAATGGTTACCAAAGTGTGTTTTGTAGGGGACGGCTTTACCAGAAAACCTCCAAAATACGAGCGCTTCATTCGACCAATGGTAAATATTTTTTTGTAGTAGGTTAATAGTTAATTTGCTTTTTCATGTTCAATCTTCAGTAAAGATGCTCTGCCCATAGCAGCAAAAGAAGCATGCTGTGGGTCCCATTGGCCAGGGTGTTCTGGCTGGCGGGGTCCAGGATGGCAGCCTTCTCTGCCATTGCACCTGCTCTTTGGAACATTTTGCCACCCAGATTGAAGTCAGCTCCAACCTTCCTCATCTTCCACAAGAGCTTGAAGACCTGCCTCTGCCAATTGGCTTAGAGTTTCAATGGAGGGGTTTTACATTGAGATGGTTGATAGATGAAAAATAGATCCCACCTCCCACCCTGCTTATCCTAATCTCTCCATCCCCATCTTTTAGTTAGAGCTGAATATTTTTATAGTATTTAATTTATATTGTCTAGAAATTTTCTATAGTTTTATCTTTTTAATATTGTAAATCAGCCAGAATTACCCTGTGATAAAATGGGCAGCCAATAAATTTAATAAATAAATAAGTAAAATAAATGAGAAAAACATAATGGTACATTTAGCGATCGTGAAAAAAAGGGAAAAACTACCTGGAACTGGTCACAATTGTAGTCCACCAAGCTGGTGGGAATCAGTCATGAAAGCTCATATCAATGCCCACGTTGCAGCCCTGGTCAAAAGGGCCTAGCAGAGATTATACTACCTGAGACTTCTCAGGAAACAACAACTGAATGAGAAACTGCTGGTGACCTTCTACTGCTGCACCATAGAGAGCATTTTAACATACTGCACCTCTGTATGGTTTGCCAATTGCACAGTGGCAGATAGGAAAGCACTCCAGAGGGTTAATGTCATTGCCCAGAAGATCATTGGTTTCCCTCTCCCCTCTTTGGAAGAGCTTTATAGCTCCCGCTGCCTTAAGAAAGTTTAAAACATTTTCAAAGATCCATCTCATCCTGGGAACCCTTTTTTTGAACTATTACCATCTGGCAGACAGTACAGAATAATAAAAACAAGGGCAAATAGGCTGAAAAACAGCTTCTATCCCAGGGTAGTAGCTCTTTTGAATTCTGCTGTATAGTGCAGTGTTGGTGTGGTGTTGGGGTTTCCAGTTCAATGTGTGAAGGGTGAAGGATGTGTGTTTGTGTTTATTTTCATGGTCATGGTCATGATATGCACTGAAGATGGTGGTTGATTTCGTTATATGAGGTGCAATGACAATAAAGTAAAAGAAACTAAATAAACCGCTGTTAACTTTTTGGGGTTTAAAACTGAGCCCATTTATGTGGGATTGGGATTAAAAAATAAATGCATGTGTTAGTTTTAATTCTCTTTTTTTCTGTGGTTGCTTATGAAGACTTGTATTTATTTTGTTGAATAACAGGGTTTGCGATTTAAGAAAGCCCATGTAACACATCCAGAACTTAAAGCTACATTTTGCCTACCTATTCTTGGTGTAAAAAAGAATCCGTCTTCCCCCCTCTATACTTCTTTGGGAGTAATCACAAGAGGTACAGTAATCGAGGTAAACGTGAGTGAGCTTGGTCTCGTCACCCAAGGGGGAAAAGTTATCTGGGGTAAGTAACCAAATACTTTTATTAATAAGAATGAATAGCAATAGGAATAAGGCTTATATACCACCCCATAGTGCTTTATGGCATTCTCTGGGCGATTTATAATGTAAACATTATTTGCATATTGTCCCCAACAGTCTGGGTCTTTGTTTTACTGACCTCAGAAGGATGAAAGGCTGAGTAAACCTTGAGTTGATCTGAATTGGAAATCGCCGCTATGGGCAGAGTTAGCCTCCGTACTGCATTCTAACCATTGTACCACAAAGGCTCCTATTAATGCTAATGAATAACAATGCTGATGAAAGAAGCATTTAAGCAATTAGATATTATGTCAGAATTGTATGAAATTGCAGGTTTTCAGGATGAAAACTACAGGATATCTAGTCACCTCTAAAGGAGATGGGTGGCACACAAATCTAATGAGTAAATAAGTATTTCTTGCTTAGCAAGATTTTTAAAAAATCACAATTTGCTTGGATCTTGATAATCAGATGGCGTTTGTCTAAATTTGCCCAGCAGCAGTTCAAGTGTATCTTATGATTTAAAAAATCTCATTAATTTGTTATATTTAATGCTTCCTTCCTGCTCCAGTAATACATTTGATTCCTAGTCAACATCCATATATATTTAATATGTCTCATATACCAGCACTCTCTCTTGATGTTCTGTTCTGATTTTTCTCCATTTCATTAGCAAAATTAATAGTCTCCATCTAATCAACATCAGAGGAAATTATGCAGTTCATTCAAAAGTTACCTTATGCAACTTTATTGTAACAAATGTTAATGTTGGTTTGTCCAGTCCCACAGAAGTAACTTTTCAGTTGGGAAAAATAAAGGCCCATTATTCTCTATTCCTCTGACTCGTTAAGTGGTTGTTTTGTCATGATGTATTTAAATGTCAGCTATGGAGGGGTGCTTTTTTAAAAAAAGTACTGCAGTAGTAGACTGAGTCATTAAGAATCTGCCATTATAAATATTGTTTCAATAAAACTTGTTTTTTTTCAGGAAAATATGCACAAGTAACCAATAATCCAGAAAATGATGGGTGCATTAATGCAGTTCTACTTGTATAGTGACATTTGCCGCTATGGATATGGAAGCTTTTTACACACATATGTGTCTCTGCAGACTTCAGATAAAAGAATTTGTTTCAAAACAGCCATCTCTGAAGACAAAGGACTATTGCAGAACTGGCTTTTCTCCAAATATTACCAAAAATAAAATATTATTTCTTGATCAAATTTCTTGATTAGCATCGTAAATAGACTTACAAAACCCGAACTTATATTAGAAAACAGAGTATCTGTATTCCTTATTTCTTGCATACAGTAACATTCTTTACTGTCAGTTTTTCCAGTATTAAGAAAGTAGGGTACGTATGGACAGGTAATAGCTGAAACTAACTTTTTGCACCAAATTTCACATACATGGAACACAAGTTGAAATATAAGAATATTCCAATTTAGCAAATATCAAGGAGCATCTTTGTAGTGAGAAAGCATATTCATAGTATATTGCAGGTCATTGGTTTTATTAGAAAATTATCGATACATACAAAATATTCTTAACCTGGGAATGTGTGGGTGACTGAACCTCATTTGACATGTTAAAATATATTCTGTATTAGCCTAGTGCATACTTCCACTTTCTAAGAGTTTTAATTAAAATGTTTCTTTCTTTGCATATAGTGTTAATGAAATGCTGAAGTTACTATGTTTGCTGCTATCAATGCAGAATCAGAATTCCCTCTGAGAGGAAGTGTGGTTAGAATCTTACACTTTCCTCTGTAATCTGGGATTAATGTCAATCCTATTACCATTGCAGAGTTCCCCAAATCTTCAGAATACAAGGAGGGTTGACCTACTCAAGATTGGATAGGTTAGGTAAGATCAAAAGCCTGGAATATTAATAATATAGATTAGTAGAACAATTATTGAACTGCATGTCTACCAGTAATGCTTCTGCAACAAATCTTAACATTCTTTTTTATGTCCAGTATGCATAACATGTTACGTTGTATTAATTTCATTTTGTGATCAAGAGACTAGGATTCGCTTTTCTGCTGCTTTTCTGCTTTCCACATATTTCTGATGGTTTATAGAAACGGGGCATTCAAATCTATTATTCCCAGTGACTATGGGAAGACTTTTGCTGCATATAATCTCTCAGTCATTCAAGACTTGGAGCAAAGTTTCTATTGAACCTAAGGGATTGGTTTTCCCAGCTACAAGGTAAACATCACTGATCCCTTGTTCTATTGGTCTACTATGTCTAGTTAGGTTCCATCAAGTTGTATTGGGCAATGGGCGTCTGGATAAATGCTCACCCATTCTGAGTAGGAAGAAAGGAATTTTTCAAGCTAATAAGTACTATAAGAAAACTGCAAGTGTAAGTTTAACCAATTAGAAACAATACACACCATAAAGGAGAAACAACATATTAATTTAAGACAGAATTGTATTAAAACATTTTATCAACAATACACAACTCATGAATGAAGGCAAATACATGTGTCCCAGGTTAATGTTGCAGGATCCAATGTGGGTCGGTCACCAGGACTGGAGGTTTTGTCTTCCAAGCTTTCGGGCTCATGCTGGAACCCATTTCAAGAAAAGCTCTGAAGACAAATCCTCTGGTTCCAGTGACCAACCCAGATTGGATTCTGCAACAATACAACTCTTCAGATAATTTCTTTAAAAGCATAGGCTGTAATGATGATGAAAAATTAATGTTCTACTGCTAGTTTACACTGCGTTACAATTTCATGACTAAGTGATGTGAATAAACAAAAATAAACCACAACATTTCTATTGAACTAAAAGGTAAACATTTTATTAAATTTATGTAGAAGAGATTCTACATACTTCATGCAATAGGTACAGTAAAACAGTTCATGAAATCATACTTGAAAATGATAAGGTGCATGAAATGTAAAATACACCTTGACACTGGAAGCAGTAAGAACCTGAATAAATGAGATCCTAGAAAACTATATTGTTAAAAACAAAGTTGAGTTCACATGCTTTCTTTAAATATTTATAAACTAAAAACATAATACTGCTTTTTAATTTTGTTTTGTACAGTATCTTTTTCACTTCTACTATGAACTTTTATCAAAAACTGGTCTATTTTGTTCTTTGCAGATCCAATAATCATTTTCACTTATTTAAGCTAAACAATATAATAATTCTCTTGAAAACATGTTCCTTTGTGAAGCTGCACAAAACTGCACATTTTAACTTGGCTTTACAAATTTGTTTTTAACTAATTTCTCAGCCTAATTTAAGTGTTTTACTTCAATAACTGCTGCAATGTAAAAAAAAGTTACAAGACAATAATTGATAAGATACCAATAGCACATTGCTGAAGCAAGGTTACCTAATTCCAGTGAGGGGGGAAAAAAGTTTTAGTTGCATGATACATATAAATATTTGCTATCATAACAAATCAGTATTTAATTTAATGTTTTGAGCCCTTGCTACAGGCATTGTACATTTTTATGAACAATATGTGCTCCAAGAGATTTTTTTGAATAATTTCAATTATTAGGTTGCTTTCTGCAGAATGTTTTTCTTGTGCATACAAGGGAAAATATCCTTCTGGTTTATAGACAAAACAATGAAAAAGTTATCTAGGGTGACCACAAATGTCAAAATTACATTTCCTTAATATTTTATAACTGAATATCCTAGAATAGTTAAGCTCAGCTCTCATGTAAGAAGTAACTTTGCAATTAGATGTTATATAGACCAATTTAATTTACAGATGGAGAATAAATTTTTTATTTAAATGTACAAATCAAATTTATGATTTGGGGAAAACACTGATTTAAAAGACATTTAGTATAGTAAATCACCACCAATCCAGAAGCCATAATAGAAATACACACTTAACCACTTCACAAAATATTCTTTTGTTTTACAGAATGAGAATTATCAAGCCCCTTGCCATGTTTATCTAGGTCAATACATCTAACATTCATACCTATGGTTCCTTTCAAAAAATTTATCTAACCTTGTCCATCTCGAAAACTTTAGCACTAAGTAGCAAAAAACCTGACCTAATCTTAAAATGGTCAAAATGTCTTATTTTACCAAAAAAAGGGGGGAGTACAAGATAAAAGCTGCTTTATGTACTTCATAGAGTACTTGGTTTTTTATATCAGAACCAAGATTTCTGCACAAATTCTAATACACAATATACAAAATGTATACTGGTAGAAAAACATGTATCGTGCTGAAAAGCCAAACAACTTGGCAACTCCATAAACCTCAAAGCCAAAACTTCATAACGCTCTTAAAAAAAAACACCTACATCTCTATGCCAAGGAGTTATTTTTTAAAAAAGCAATCAACTGAGTTATTACTGAGAAGCCTGAGAGCTTGTACAACCAGAACAGACCAATTCTGAAAAGAATAAAATGAACATTTTCACATATTTGCAAATGAATATTTATACTAGCATATACTCAAACCGAAGACTGAATATGCTTCAAACCGAAGACTGAATCTGTCCAACTGGTAATACTTAGAAAATGATAACCGTACGTTCTTATGAAGGTCTAATCTATAATTACTCTGAAGGAGTTCACTTTACTATGTATATATTAGGAGCTTTATTCACTCGCAAAATAATCAGAATACTTCAACACAGATTGAAGATTCAGGTTTAGCTAGGATCATATAATCTTGGGTTTTTTTTAACATGGGTATATAGTATCCATAGAAAATTTGAAGGGTATTTTAAACTAAGCACAAATAATATCAAGTATTTTATATTTCTGTTTAAAGCAGGCTTGTAAATTTACTACAAAATAACAGTAAAAGGATTTTTTGGGGGGGAGGGGCGGGAAACTATAATTATATATACCTATCCCTGCTAAGCATGAAAAAACATCAAGGTGTGCAATTAACTACTATGGGATGAAGAAAATGCCTGACACTTCACAGATTATGTGTTATTGTACACAAGGGATTACAAATAACCACTTGAGGCAGCTTAACAATACAATTGTTAAGGTGGCATCTGTTTGGACCTTCAACATCTCTAAAATAATTTACTGTCCCCACTTTAACTTCTGGTGTCTTTATTATTGTTTAGCAAAAGTAGACATTTACTTCCATATCAGTTCAATTCCTTTTATGTAGTGGTTAAACAACAAAATAAGTAACATAAAGTAACTATAAAAAACTGGGAATGATTCCAGTATTTAAATACATGTGTGTCCTAAAGTGGTTTGTAATTTTGCAGCTTTTTCTGTGAAGAAAGAAACACAATGAAAATGGCAATCATTCCCACTCAGGTTGACTACAATTCTGTTCAAATTAGTTTTCCTTTTTTCTTAGGTGGGCCTTTGTATCCTTTAGCCTTTCTTCGTAAGGTCCGCCTGTCTACTACGGGCACCTCAATTTCTGCTTCTTCTGAACTGCTGTCAGCAGCTCTCTCAGACACTGGCTCAGCTGACTCTTCAGACTGTTCATCCATTTGGTTCTTTTGTACCTCAGAATGTTGTTGGTAAGAGATGTCCTCCAATTCAACCATCATCAGAGCCCCCTGACCCAGAGTAATGGGGGCTTCTGGTGAATCAGATCCGCCCTCTTCACTTTGCTCTTCCAAGGAAGAGGATGTGTTGGGAGACACATTTTCAGAAATGGCATCTTCTGGAGCGTCCCCTGCTACTGAGTTTGAAAGACCGTTATTAGAATATTCTTTTTCTGTTCCTGAAACAGGATCGGCATTTCCTCTTTTCCTTTGTGTAACCTGCTCCTCTTCTGCAGGCAACTCAGAATCTGCTAAATTCTCAACCTAAGGAAGAAAGAAAAAACCACTGTAAAGTCAAATATATATATAGAGCACTACAAAACTCGTAAGAAATGAAATATCATAGATGTTGCTTTTAATCCAAAGAATACTTCTTCACTTCATTCTCACAATGTTTCTGCCATAGATTTCTATTATTAGGTATATTAGCTTAAAGCTAAAATATGTTATCTAAAATGTTCACTTTAAGGCTTGACCAGAGAAAAATCAGGTCAATAGTAAAGATGATGCAAGTCTGAAGTCTCTATATAAAAACCAGCACGGATGAAGAGGCAGAGAGGGACAGAAGCAGTCATTTTCAAATGGAATTGTTTAATGTTGGGAAAACTGAAATGCAAACACTGTTTCATTTGTTAAAGCAGAACATTTCCCAAATGAACTTCCATTCAACATACTGCAATGGTTAAAATGAGTACATAAGAAGAAAAGCAGATAAACAAGAAAAGTGAAGAGAGACAAGGAAAACAGTGATAAAGATAATTGGAAGATCACACTGCAACCTAAATAAGAACGTAAAATTCAAAATATTGGAAGAAAAAGAAAATCCACTGCCTGGTTTTAAAAGCTATTAAATTAGGGGCCAAGTGTAAAATAGTATGAAAACATTGTTTTAACATTCCCTCACCTTATCTGAAATATTGTCATCACTGTCTTCAGTGGATTTTCCTGAAGAATCAAGGATTAGTGGGACGAGTAAAGTTAAAGTTGTTTCTTCTGAACTGTCTGATTGTAACTTTGACTCTCCATCCAGAACTTCATTTGTTGTTGATCCTTCAGTCACTATTGATACCTTGATAGCATTTTCCATTATTTCTCCATTAATTGGCTCCATATCTGTTTCCTAAAAAAAAATATCACATGAGCACATTGAAGTGATGCATCCATACAGAATCAACCAGAAGAATTCAGACACAACCGGACATTCACACTGTAGTACTGAATAATTATTTTCTTAATGTACTCTCTTATTTCCACTATATCCAAAATGAGAGAGGTGAAAACAATTTCATGGATGCAGCTCTGTACCTAAGCCCTTTTTGAATCTTAAGATTTTTGTAAAGTCTTCTCAACTATTACTTTCTGTATAGGCGGCCAATGCCAATGTTAAATAAAAGCTATCATAATACTTTATTTCTAATAATGGATAGAAATAGGTTTATTAATCAATCTGGCTTCTGCTATGAGCCAGAGAAAGACTATATCCTGTGACTGTTAGGAACATCATCCAGGTGAATGAGAGATAACCATAAACTAAAGAAAGAGTACAGTATATGACCTATTTCTATGCCAGGAAGAATTACCGTATATACTCGAGTATACGTCGACCCGAATATAAGCCGAGGCACCTAATTTTACCACAAAAAACTGGGAAAACTTATTGACTCGAGTATAAGCCTAGGGTGGGAAATGCAGCAGCTACTGGTAAATTTCAAAAATAAAAATAGATACCAATTAAAACTTTCACTAGGACAGTTGAGAATAAGTTTGATGTTCACAATTTCCTCTTTGAAAGAGACCAGTAAATAGGGAACAAGAAGATGAAGAAAAAGAAGTGTGTTTTTTCACACTTTTCACACTGCAGTGAACAAAAATGGCATCATAGGAACAGGCTTATTCTCAGTCCAAAGGTTTGTTTCTGATTTCTTCCCTGATTTAAGGGAAATTTGGGAAACGATCTCACTATCATGAAAAGTTTAATTGATTCACTAACCCAAAAGAAGATGATGATGATGACAGTGGGAGGCAGGAGTCACTCTCTCCCTTGCAAGAAAAAAGCAAGAGCCATTCTTATGATCTCTCTCTCTCTCTCCCCGTAATACAGTCAAGCCCTTTCCAGCACGCGCGATCCGCCGCCGCCGCCGCTTTGCACCTTGCAAATGCAAAATCCCGGGGTTTTTGCATTTGCAAGCTCTTGCTTTTTTCGCCAGCGCCGGGCACTGGGGGCTTGCAAGGGAGGGAGTGACTCCTGCCTCCCACTGTCATCATCATCTTCTTCTTTTGGGTTAGTGAATCAATTAATTTGGGAAACGATCTCACTATCATGAAAGTCAGTGTTCTCTGCCCGTGGGGCATTTGGAAGAAAACGCCCCGCGGCATATCCACGCGCGTGTAAGGGGAATCAGAAATCCCCGTGTTCAACGCCTAGCACAGCAGAAGAGAAAACGCAACTGTGAGCAAATACTGGGAAAACCTGATTGATCAGAAGGAAGGAGGCAAAAGAGGGAGGGGGTGGTGGACGGAGGTCCCACTGGTATTTGTGAAACACTCGGTCAGCAGCGCTTAAAGTCAACGTCCTCGCTCCCACTCACCCACCCAAAGCCACGAAGTCCCCCAATCACGCAGCCCAGAATCACCCTCCCCTCAGGGGGCAGCAACGACACCCGGCGTTTCCCGAGACAAGAAGCTTTGCCGTGCAATGAAAGCGCCCTGGCTCTAGGCTCGCGGGCTCAGAAAACAATGCAAGCCGAGGTGGCTTCGGCTCTGCTTGGCTTCATTTCCTCAGCCCCAGCTGCTTTCAGTCTGCTCGGGAGGAGGAGGAGGTGGTGGCGGCTCGCGTTGTTTTCTGAGCCCGCGAGCCTAGAGCCCAGCTCCGGAGCTCCACACCATTTTTTTCCCAGAGGGGAATCTCACTCGAGTATAAGCCGAGGGGGTTTTTTTCAGCACAAAAAATGTGCTGAAAAACTCGGCTTATACTCAAGTATATACGGTATCAGTTTCTCCAACAATTTGTTGACTTGATCCTAGTTATCACTCATTTTAACTGAGTTCTTACATTTTTGCTCCTAAGGCACTGAAAAAATTAAAAAAACAAAAAACAAAACATAATTAGTGAAAATAATTAACTTCAAGTGAAAAAACGTGGCTAAAGAAAAATGGCTTGATTCCTTTTCTAAATTTGGAATGTGGGGAATAAACAGAACTTCTGATGGAGTATATCTTCTGGTTGCATAGCAATCCATGCAAAGGCTCTTTCCAGTGTACCCAACTGACTCAAACATTTTTAAGTGGGACTCTCCTGCTGATTGGTGTATCTGTGTAGTTACTTGAACTTTAACCACTATTCAAAAAGGATGTCAACAAAGAAAGATCACACTTGGCAAAACTGAGTATTATTATTTGTATCTTTCTTCCAATTTTCTTTGTAAGTCAGTCCCCTCTTCCCCCGCCTCCTCTCCATCCTGTATCTTTATACTCCTCTAGTTGCTAAACTTTATGGCAAGGAATCTCACTTTTTAAAAATGGTGTGTGGTTTTATGGAAGACAACTGTCATAGAGGCAGGATTAAAAATATTAGTAATAAATAATCTGTACTTTTAAAGATGTACCTCTCTATCATCTTGCTTTTCTGATGGAATACACTGCTGGAGTGTTTCTTGGGCTGATTGTTTTGAATTCTCCACTAACTTTTCCTGCTCGCTGTCCATTACTTTTTCTTCCATCTCGTCTATCAATTCTTCTGAATGTTCGGATACATGAGCAATAGGATCCAATCTATGCAACAGGAGAAACAACAAAAATAAATGTAAAACAGCCAATAGCAACTGAATTATACTGAAATATGCACAACTTGATTTTTAATACTGTATTAAGTTAGATACATTATTTACTGGCAAAGAACAATTGTTGGCACCTTCAGATCTGCTGGGTTATACAAGCATTATTCAGGAAAAATATTGGGAACAAATTATTTGGAGACCAGGAAATCCAAGAATGCTATTTGTAAAACAACACTGACAATACCTAATACAGATACAGATAATAATACAGATAATCAGAGTTGGCAGGGACCTTGTAGGTCATCTAATCCAACCCCCTGCCCAAGCGGGAGACCCTACATCATTTCTGACAAATGGCAGTCCAATCTCTTCTTGAAAGTTTCAAGTGATGGCGCTCCCACAACTTCCGAGCGCAAGCTATTCCATTGATTGATTGTTCTCACTGTCAGAAAGTTTCTCCTTATTTCCAGGTTCCTTGTTCAGTTTCCATCCATTATTCCTTGTCTGGCCTACAGGAGCTTTAGAAAATAGCTTGACCCCTTCCTCTCTGTGGCAGCCCCTCAAATATTGGAAGACCACCATCATGTCTCCCCTGGTCCTTCTCTTTACTAGACTAACCAAGTCCAGTTCCTGTAACCATTCGTTGTATGTTTTAGCCTCCAGTCCCCTAATCATCCTGGTTGCTCTTCTCTGTACTTTTTCTAGAATCTCAACATCTTTTTTATAATGTGGTGAACAAAACTGGATGCAGTACTCTAGGTGTGGTCTTACTAAGACTTTATAGAGTGGTATTAGTACTTCCCTTGATCTTGATTGTATCCCTCTGTTAATACAATTTAGGATTGCATTCGCTTTTTTGGCTGCTGCTGCACACTGCTGGCTCATATTTAGCTGGTTGTCCACTAAGACTCCAAGATCCCTCTCCCAGTTACTGCTATTGAGCCTGGTTTCACCCAGTCTATATGTGTACTTTTGGTTTTTCTTGCCTAAGTGTAGGGCTTTACTTTTCTCTACACTGAATTTCATTTTGTTAGATATGGCCCAGTGTTCTAATCTGTCAAGATCCATCTGGATCTTGAGCCTATCTTCTTGGGTGTTAGCTATTCCTGCCAGCTTAGTATCATCTGCAAATTTGGTAAGTTCCCCTTCTATTCCCTCATCTAAGTCATTAATGAAGATATTGAAGAGTACTGGGCCTAAGACGGAACCTTGTGGCACCTCACTGCTTACTTCCCTCCATGTAGACTTTGACCCATTAAGGACTACTCGTTGAGTACGGTTTGCCAGCCAGTTGCGAGTCCATCTAGTGGTGGTGCTATCTATTCCACTCTTTTCTAGCTTACTAAGAAGTAGGTTGTGGTCTACTTTGTCGAATGCCTTGCTGAAATCTAAATATATTATGTCCACAGTATTTTACTAATTTAGTCACTGTGTTGAAGAATGAAATAAGATTGGTTTGGCATGATCGGTTCTTAACAAACCCATGCTGACTGCTAGTTATTACTTTACTTGTTTCTAGATGTTGGCAGATCTGTTTTTTTATTATCTTTTCCAGATAGTGTCTTCCATTCTCAACTTGGGATGGATTATGACTTACAGTCATCACAAGTAAAATATCTAGTCTAATATTTAAACTCTTTTTGTTTTTCTTCCCAATCGGAACTTTTTGTAACATCTTTCCTGGTGAAGAGTTCTGAAGAACTTTAAAGCTTGCAACACTGCTTTTTACTACTTTGATTAAACTTGACAAAAGGTATCGCCCTGCTACTGATGCTAAGTTTTATGCAGCTTTACATTCATTTGCTGAATTTCACAGTTTAACAATAATAAATATATATTATTCAGTGTGAAATGACATACAGTCTTTCTCTATAAATATGTGCAAGGCATATTCAGATATTTTTCATTTGTAATTTTATTGAATCACATACTGTACCTGTTTCCCGATGTTTGAGAAGTATTTACGTCTTCAGTTTCAGAAATCCCAGGTTCTTGCATTCTTTTTCCCAATTTTGGACGTTTCAGATTATTGCTTCGTGATCGAGTAGGAATTGGTAAAGCAGTAAGTTCTGGAGAAGGAAAAACCACTTCAAAACATAACTATATATGAATAATACCAAGATATATGACAAATTCAAAATATATAATTGCTTTAACAATGTGTTACTAATGTCTTGGAGATATTTTTACCGCACTCTGTAAACACTTAAACATCTGATGTGCCAATTTTGAAGTATTTCAATCCGATGTCTGGAAGCTGTTTGGATCTGGATGGAGTGGAACAGATTTTGATTCAAAACTGATGTGCCTGTTTGGCCCTCAGTATCAGGGATGTCACATTCCTTGGTCTTGAATAGGACTGCACTTCCCCATGCACAACTTTGGGGTCCTTGCCCATTTATTTATTTATTTTATTTATTTATTTATTTGATTTGCCAATTGTTTACAAGATAATAAGTATAAATGTATACATAGTTGTGAATACAAGAAATGGGTACATATAAGAAAAATAAAAGAATAAGAGAAACAATAGGACAGGGACGGTAGGCACGTTGGTGCGCTTATGCACGCCCCCTACAGGCCTCTTAGGAAAGGGGTGAGGTCAATAGTAGACAGTCTAAGGTTAAAGTTTTTGGGGTTTGGGGAAGAAACTACAGAGTCGGGTAGAGTATTCCAGACATTGACCACTCTATTGCTGAAGTCGTATTTCCTGCAATCAAGTTTGGTGCGGTTTACTTTGAGTTTGTATCTATTGTGTGCTCTTGTGTTGTTATGGTTGAAGCTGAAGTATTCATTGACAGGTAGGACATTGCAATGTATGATTTTATATACCATGCTTAAGTCAGACCGAAGACGGCGTAATTCAAGGTTTTCTAGTTCTAGAATTTCAAGTCTGGTGGCATAAGGTATTCTACAACGAGTAGAGGAGTGGAGAACTCTTCTTGTGAAATATTTCTGGACTTTCTCAATTGTGCTAATATCAGATACGTAATGTGGGTTCCAGACTGATGAACTGTATTCGAGTATTGGTCTAGCAAATGTTTTGTATGCTCTGGTTAGTAGTGTGATATTACCAGAGAAAAAGCTACGTAGGATTAGGTTAACAACTCTTAATGCCTTTTTGGCTATGTAGTTGCAGTGGGCTCTAGCACTTAGATCATTAGAGGTGAGTATTCCAAGGTCCTTTACAGAGCATGGGTCATCAACAAGCCCATGCACAACTTTGCTAAAAAACAAGTGGCAGCTATAGCTGGGAGGACCTTTGCACAAGTACAAATTTTACGCCAGTTTTGCCCTTTAATTTTTGCTGAAGAAGCAAAAAACACTGAGAAAAAAACATGTTTATTGCAACAACTGGGTGCCTACTTTAGAAGAAAGTATAATGAAAAATGAATTTTTTAAATGGAAATTGAGGAATGTGAGGGAGGAAATTTTAGGGATATGATTTGCTGGCCAGTTTGGAGAAGCTAAGCAGGTCCTTTTTCCTGTTACCAGGACTATTTCTATTATTAGGCAAAGTGGCTCTTGGAGAGGGCAAAACTGGGAAAGTCCTTTGTTAAAGGAATGTTTAGGTCATCAGCTGATAAAGGATGGAATGTTGGGATTTCTCTAGCTTGCAATTCTCTGCCCTTGGGCTGGGCTGGAGCTGGTGGGAAGACTTCTAGTATAGGTCTAGATGGGATTGCAGCGATTGAGGTTATCTGGGATAGGGAGGTCAACTTGGATCTAATGGGATTAAGCAAAGAAAGGAGTTGGGTTTGACTTTGGTCATATACATGAGCCAAAAAGAGGGCTGTGAAAATATTTACAGACCCCTCACATCCTGGACATAAACTGTTTCAACTCTTACCCTCAAAATGACACTATAGAGCACTGCACACCAGAACAACTGGACACAAGAACAGTTTTTTCCCAAATGCCATCACTCTGCTAAACAAATAATTCCCTCCACACTGTCCAGCTATTTACTAAGTCTGCATTACTATTATTATTAATCTTCCCATCCTTCCTTTCACCCATCTCCTGCCACTTACGACTGTACAACTGTAATCTTGTTGCTTGTATCCTAACAATTTTTATTGACTGTTTCCTAGTATGAGTTGATTGCTTATTGTACCCTATACCTATTATTAAGTGTTGTACCTTATGATTCTTGACTCTTGATGAATGTATCTTTTCTTTTATGTACACTGAGAGCATATGCAACAAGACAAATTCCTTGTGTGTCCAATCACACTTGGCCAATAAAGAATTCTATTCTATTCAAAAGATTGGGAGGGCAGTTTCTATTTTGTTGATTAGGTTATTATTTTTTCATTATATTTTATGTTTCATTTCCTGTGAATTTGACTGGCTTTATCATTTCTACTAACATTTGTTTCTGAAGTCCACTGCATTTATGTAAAATAAATCAGTTCTTATATTTTTGTTCCATCTTTGAACTGCAAATCTGTGCTACCTGCTAACAGCATTTTATAGAAGACTGATTTTTAAGAAGCGATTTGTGATTTTATCAACCGTATGGTCCTTACTTCATCTACCGGTATGCATGTGACTACCAAAATATATAATTTTACATTTTCTTTCTTCTTATTTTTAACACAGTTGATTTTTAAATTACATTGTTTTTGTTCCAACCCATCCAAAGGAGGGGGAGTAGTGTTTTTTCTGACCACATGCTTCAAATGTGTAAGGGTCAAAAGGCGGACTTGCAGACTTGTCTTCATCATCATCATCAATGTTCTCCAGAAGACAAGATGCAGGCTGTAATAGTCCTATCACTACTTATACAGGGCTGGAAGAAAGGTAAGAAGCCAGATAATAGAATCTCCCAAGGAGATAGAAGGGCAGTCCAATAACCTATCTATCAACCGTACTATACCAGGAAGGAAGTGTCAGAGAACTCTGGAGTGCAGAGACAGTGAGGCTTCCTTCCATCTCATGCTCAACCAGGCAGTCCAGCTGTCTCCAGCCTTACAGACATGACATGAACTTTACTCTTTGGTTTGAATTTTTCCATCCATATACTGAAGCTTTCTGCAGTTGTAGTATCAAAATAAAGTGTATGTGTGTGTGTGTGTGTGTGTGTGTGTGTAAAATCCCAAACTGAGGGAGACGATAAATGAATATTTTATAAAACACATACACATAATTGAGGGCTCCTCTATTAATAAGTTTCCTTTTGAAGTACCTCCTCTGATCATATGCATTCATGAACAAAGTGAATAACAGAAGAAAAATCTTTTCCCAAAAATATGCATAATGCATTTTTTTACCTTCAGAGGTACCTTCATATACATCAAAGCCATCTTTATTTTTATGGACATCAACCTAAAAACAGGAAGACTTAAGTTTATAAATCCATAATATAAAACCAAAATTCTTTAAAGTAAACCACTGCTAATAGATTTCTTCCATTCATTCAGTTACATATCCATACTGAGTTTTAGTTTATTAAACAAAACATCAATATGAAAAGTTAAAATAAATACAGAAGTTAAAGGGAAAAGAAAAAGGGAAAAAAGACCAGGAAATTTAACATATATGAGAGAACTGAAGGAGAAATACAAAATGTTAAAACTATATGTACATCTGTACAAGCTGAGATAATCTATTAGGAATTGTTACTATAGCTAAATGAGGTTCAATTCCTTTTCCACTATGGTTTTTATAGACTTGAATGGTGGGGAGGATTAAAGTCTTTGATCCCATTTTTACTGCTGCAAATTGAAAAACCACATCTATAAAATTGCAATTTGCTGATGATTTCCAACAGTGTAATTTGGAGAAATGTCATACACTGTTGAAACTGAATTAAAGTCAGGATATACCTGCAGTTGTCTTCTGCCTTTTTATGCCTGCTTACCACAGTGCTACACAATCTGAGGCCTTCTTTGCAGCCTGTAAAGAGAAGCAGCCTTAAACATGACTGCTTCAAATCTAATTTATTTACTCAAGAATATTATAAACTCTAGGGAGCGGACAAAGCAATGCAAGTTAAATTGGATACTGTAGGAAGTTTCCCATTTTTCCACTTCAGTAAAAACCTTGAGGATTTTGAAAAGGCAAATTTAATAAAATCTTATGTGTACTTATAAAACACAGAGCAGGTACTAAATAATTCAAAGGAAGCTATTTTATACCTACACTTAAGTGTGTTTCACTGGGGTCAACTGCCTGTTCACGCGATGGGCTGTTATCCGTGGAAGAGTGCAGAAAACGTTCCTCATTCTGGGAAGTGTTAGCTTCTATTTGCAGGGCTTCTTGTTCATAGGGAAAAAAATTAAAAATGCAACCACTTCAAAATATTATCCCCTAGTATCTGCTAATAATAAAATTCTTTTATGCCTTTTTCTGTGAGCTTATTTAAGCTAACTAAAAGAGCAGGCTCGGTTTTCTTTTCCGCTACAACCATTACGGAAACCCCCATTTGGTCAACTATACAAAGGTGTACAATAGTCCTTACAGGCACAGAACTCTGAGCCCATCTGGTGGGCGGAATGGGACAACTCGCTGCGGCCCTCTTGCCACGGGACAACTCTCTACAGCAGGGGTCCCCAACCACCGGGCCGCGGACCGGTACCGGGCCGTGGAACATTTCCTACCGGGCCGCCGGTTTGCTGGGCGCCGCCATCTTGTTTGACGAGAAAGTGCTTCCGGGTGAGCTTTTCCGGTTGGAAAGTGGCGTTTGGGTCCTGAAGGAATCCTCGCGCCTTAGTTTCATCGAAGGGAGGGGGCGGCTTCGAACAAAACTAAGGCGCGAGGATTCTTTCAGCACCCAAGGCAAGGCGAGCCGAGCGACCGTCCCAAAGCCGTCCCGAAGCGAAGCCCATCAACAAAGGTACAAAGGAGGAGTTGAAGGTGGAGGGGAGAAGCGGGGGACGGCTGGCTGGCCGGTCGCTCAGCTCACCTTGCCTTGTCATGCGTGCTGATGCTGGTACCAGGCCGCGGATCATTTTGTGATGCCGGTACCGGGCCGTGGCACAAAAAAGGTTGGGGGCCACTGCTCTACAGGACACCTCATCGAAGGTTCCCCTGGCAAGTAGTCCTATGGTGAGTTAACCACAGCAGGTTATCCAAGACCTAGAAGCTGGGACTTTTTACGGCAGCACAATAATCTTCCACCGACAAATCTGCTCTGGTTCCCTTACCCCAAACAATATTCCTTCAGTTCAACAACTTGGTTAGCAAGGTAGGGTTTTTTTGTTTTTGTTTTGATGTTCTTAAAAAAACATTTTTTTCTAGAACCTCAAGAAAACACCCACAAGCCGGTAAAAAAATCTCAGTCTCTATTTTTGCCCAACTGCATTATATGTCAATACCTCCTACCTTTGAGTTTTAAACTTTCTCTCTGCAAAACAGTAGCTATAGGTGTTCTCTGGTGCCAGTGGCCTATGCCTTCAACTTCCCACAGAAGGTCACGATCCCCTGGATACCTTTCAAAGTACTTCTGGCAAGCTGAGCAAGAGAAATAGAACTCATTCAGTAAACCATCCAGATTTGTTTTTATTTTATTTTACAAGCTTCCCACTCTCTACCCCCAAATATGGCAACACTTTTATTTTAGCATTTGCTTTAAAGGGAGCATTAAAAACCTAACTGCGTCACAAACAGAAGCACAAGAGCACTCTTCAATTTGTAGAGAACAGGTACATACAGTACACCTATCTTAGTTGTGTAGAACTGCTTTAAAAGCCACAGAGAGCTCTTGGACTGCTAAATGTTTGCCTTGCATAATATACCAATGAAAGCAGTGCTGAATCTAAGCAATTCAATATCTAGGATGTTAAAACTCAGGGAATCCTTTTAAAATGTTCTTAAAAGATTACAGGCCGTACCTACATTTCTCAGATATTTGTTTCTTGTGTGTATAAGGATGGACTTGAAGTTAAAATTAGCGATAGTAGCAAGAATGCAAAAAAAAAATGTTCTGATAACTGAAATGCAATATCCGTTCAGAATATCAAACTCTAGTCTATTCCTAAATTGCAAACATTGAACATTCTGAAGTATCTTGCAGGTCTTACCAGTACGCATGAAAGATGTCAGAGGGAAACGCAAACCAAGGGCATCTTCTGTGAAAGAATCCACAAAATCTTCCAGCATCAGAAGACCAAAGTCTTTGCTCTGATGCTTTTTCCTCACAAACATTGTGTCCAGAACAGGAAGCTGGTAGCTCTGAGTAAGAAAGGCACTACAAATGCTCCCTGCAAACACAACAGTCAATTCTAATTAGTACTTCAGAAGGAGTAATCTTTACATACCAGAGGCATCTTATTTCCCTAAGTTTTCAAATATACATATCAAGGACTCTGGGCAACAATAATAAAATACATAAAATCTATAAAAGCTTTAAACTCTAAAAGATTTATGAAAATATGTTTTTGAACTTTAATAACAATAGTTGGCTCCATAATATTGGCCATGCAATCAATCACCCTGCTCTAAAGTCCATCACATTTTAGATCTTTTGTCTTTTCCACTGGACCTGTCCTATTGTGCATGTAACTCAAGCAAAATCCAAATTAACAGTTTGTAGGCACAATGAGCCTATTAGTTTTTAGCTGGCTCTTCACATTTTTCAAATTAGAATAAGCTAATAGGTCCGGTTATACATTATGAAATCATACAGTCTGGTTTTTTTAAAAAAATCTCCTTTTATACCCAGGAACAAAACCTTAGTCTTCCCTAAACTTTGTCAAGAATCAGGGTGGGTTTATCTTCTTATTGCTACCACAGCTACTCCAGACCAGGCATTATCAAAGTGATGACATGAATACAGATGACAATCCTAGATGCAATCAGGGTTGGCAAACTAGGAGCAAGTAGTATGAAAGCAACCTGCACTATGGAATTTGATCCTCATTGCTCCAGCCTGCAAGTAACAATGGAGCAGGTTAGGCAAAACTGTTCTCTACTAATAGGAATGTACAATTCCAAAAATAGGCAACCCGTCCTCTAATCAGTCTAAAAACCCTGCACGAAATTATTCAAGAAGGTCCAAATATCAGCAACAAAAACAAAAGAATCCCTTGCCCTCTGCTTTTTACCCTCCCCCAAGGTTTGGCAAGTCATGGCAGAAGGGAGGACCATCTGGCCAAATATCAAGTTTCTAAGAGCTGTCAAGGCCATATAATTTGTTGCACTTGGCAACTTATTTCCTTGGAAATTAAGAGAGAGGGAGGGAGGGGAGAGAGAGAGAGAGAACAAGCGATCATTACTAATCCACCAAGGTTCTTTAGACATTCATTACATGGCCTTTTTAAAACTATTGCAATTTTAAACTGAACAAAGGAGGATTGTTTTCTGCTTACAATAAGAAAGAAGAAAAGGAAGTCTGCATTGAGGCCCTCAATTAAAATAGATTAGTTTAAAGTCCATGTGAGAATAGCAATAAAGGAACAAAGACACTGGTGATCTGTCCTATCTCTTAGCAATCTGCAAAGACAGGCAAATGAGCCTATAACTTTAAATCAGATTTAATTTTTAAGAGTTTGGTGACATCAATGTCACTCAACTGCATTAAAATCTGGGTTAAGTAGATTTGAGAACTGAGGCGGTAACGCTGGCTTAATCTGTAAGAATTTGATTTACTTTTCTAATTTCCTGTTTTCATTGATTTCCAACTTCGAGTATCTATATTTGGCACTGAGAATGGAAATACATTTATAAATATAAACTTATATTCTCATAATGTGCATAATGCTACCAGTATATCTCAGTCTGAACCAACATGATTAATCACAGATACAATGCTGAGAAGCTTGACATCCATGCTGACATACAATCTGAAGATGTAGAATCATGAATGGGAGCCCAAAACCTTCCATAAACTTCTGTCAGATTGTATGACAAATACTGTTATCAATGCACAGCTGCAGTAAAAGCTTGGGTTGGGGCCAATAAAATGAAACTCATCAAGATAGGTGTAAACATTTTTTCTGAACTAGAAAACTTTAAGGATCACCTCTTTCTATCAATTTATTTTGTTATAAAGCCATTCCCTAGGTTCCTAGAACTACAGTATGTGATTTCTATAAAGACAAATTTACTTTTCTGTATTCTACTGGATAGGTAAAAGTGTTCCTTGCCATTTCCAAAATAAAAATGCAAGGAAATTGTGGACATAGACTAGTTCTTTGCAAGTGAAGTTAAAACATGGGCTTGTTGTTGTTTTTCCTCACATTAAATTACTTTTTCCATTTGAAAGAATACTCTTACCTGGCAGTTTAATAGAATAAAAACCAATAGCCATTCCTTTCTTCCACAGAATTTTTGCATAATCATGGCTACCATGGCAAAGGAATGGGACCTCATTTTTCTCAATTTCTTGTTTACGATAAATTATTCTGTTCAGCACATAAAGAACCACTCTCTCCCCAATTGATTTCGCCTACAAAAACACATATGAATTAGAAAACATAGCCAGAAGTCTCATATAACTAAAATCCATATTTATACTTCCAAAAGAATGAAAGCAGAATGGGGTTTTATTTTTGATTATGGTTTTAACTATTAGTTAATTTGCTTCCATTTCTAAAGCACCTGAAACAGTTTAGGAGAAAGTAGATATACATGTCTATTAATAAAATCAAAATGAGGAAATGATTAAAATCCCAGTAGGGCAATCCTATATTATGAACTTGATTTAAAGTGGCTCAAAAGTGAGGAAACAGTAACTAGAAAGAAAACCTTATAAATCCTATAATGTTGGGATAAGACTGCTAATACTTCAGTGCTTGGAATTCATTGAAATAAAATAATTTGAGCGAAGTTATCTTGGATTATACAGTAAAACAATAAGAAACCCACAGCTGAACTGCTAATCCCAGCAGCCCTAGCCAGCCTGACCAATTATGAGAGATGCTAAGAATAACAACTGCAGTCATAAATCCTTATTCAAAGCATTGTCCATATTATAAACTACTCATCACTACAATTCAAAATGCTTGACACAACGTCACTGTATAGACAGGCAATTCTATTCCAAGTAAATCAGACTGCACACTTGAATAAGCCAGAAATTTCTTTTATTTATATTAAGTTTAGGTTGCATTATCAAACACTTTACTAGAGGTACAACTTACCCGTAGAAGACCTTCTCTAGAAGGAGATGATGTTCTCAAAATATCATCGATAGTCCACCATTGATCAGCCAGAAACAAGGCAACAGCTCAAAAAGGAAAAGAATTTAAACTAAGAATGTGTTCAGTGTTTCAATTCTAATTATGCCTAGTAAATATCATTGGTTGTAGAGATATATAATTATTAGTTTTGTTCTTAATTATAATACTAAATGCACGTTCGGTAAATGTGTTTCTTAAAAAGCTGAGATCAGTTCCACTTTAGAAGCAGTCACTTCCAGCTAGGTTATCCCATCATATGTTCATTTTCAAAAGATCTGTGCGTTCTACATGCAAGAGACTTCTTCTGAACAGAATGGAAGCTGAAACATTGTGTTCTACCTCAACTTCTAAATTATCAACTTAAAGAAACTACTTATTTGAATAAGTAACCACTGTACTTACTTGAATCAAAGGAAGCCCTCATCAACTATTGCTCTCTAACTAAAATTAAGGAAAGGAATATACCCCAGGAAAAAGTACAATACTATGATAGCAACAAAATGGCAAAAAATGACAGTCTGTTCTTGTAAGAACAAGTAACCTTGGATTCACACCATTTACTTTTTTCATGTACGAGAACCTTCGGAACCCTGAATCTTCAGTTCCAGGCTTATTTTCACCTGTTCAATCAAAGGTTGAGAAAATGATTGAATCAAGTCTTTCAAACATTATAAAACTGGAAGGGAGAAGCTATTCACACCAAACTGGCTTTTTGCCCAGTTTCAATTGCGTCCCCATTTTATCATGATTTCTACAGTATTTCTAAATCTTTCATATCAAAAACAACATACAACATTGGGAAACGAAAAAGGAATAACTCAGATCAGAATACTACAATGCTTCAATTCAAAAGGTAAGAGAAACCTGCAAGTGAATCCTCCGGTGCAAATAAAGCAAGGACTTTGTGTCTTTCTTCTCCGCCATAAAGGGGGATGAAGCCTACAGTTGACAAACAAATTGGAACCTAAGAGAAAGAGAGAAAAAGTTCATCATTGTTACTTCTATTCATTTGGATCTGTAAATTGCTGACACAGTACATTCTTGAACCAAGAGACACTGAAGACAGGGACTCATGCCCTGGTTATCACACTAATGCAATTCTTTATATGTGGAGTTGTCCTTGAAGGAAGTGGTAGCATAGTACAGTAGCTTGCTTTTGGAGTGGCATTAGTCAATTTAGAAGAATATTACCTATGTTGGCTCCCATAGGCTTCTATGCTGAACTGGTCATCATATGTATGATCCACTTTTACTTAGAGCAGGGGTGTTTTGCTGGCTGAGGAATTCTGGGAGTTGAAGTCCACAAGTCTTAAAGTTGCCAAGGTTGGACACCCCTGACTTAGAGCATGGGTGTCAAACTCTATCGTGTTACATGACGTCATGTGACACATCACAAGGTTTTTTGCCTTTGCGAAGCCGGGGTGGGCGTGGCCTGCGCGTGATGCATCCGTCCAACAGCCCACCAATTTGACACCCCTGACTTAGAGCATTGTTCCCTTCAGGAGCAACGATATGCCCACCCTATACAATCTAACAGGGAAAGAATGCTCTGGTTACCCATCCCGAAAGGACTGGAGGGCAGCTGGGATCCAAAAATGACATGCTGAGCAGTAGCCCCTTTGTGGGGAAAAGCTTCCCTGCAGAGATCAGATGCATTCCCACTCTGATGACTTTTCACAGAATGGTGAAATCAGTCCATTAAAATATGCTTAAGAAAAGCACCGCCGATGATACTTTTGAAGAAGAAAGGATCTTACAGACAGTCACAAAATATGGTTTTATTTTAACTGTTTTCCCTACTCTATCCTTCCCCTCCCTTACTCTTCCCTTTCCCCTCTCTTAGGCTTTCCTCTCTCTCCCTCTTGGTCTATGCCAAGGCCTATTTTTCTTTTTGTTGTACATAATTTGTAGTTGTGTTGTTCTTTTAAAGGTAAAACTAATAAAGTATTTTTCCAAAAAAAAAAAAAATATGCTTAACGCTAGCAATAATTTATTAACAGTGTTTAGTAGTTTTAACTGGTTTTGTTTATGTAAATATTTGATATTTATTGTAAGCTTCCTCGAGTTGTAGTGGGCTGGCATACATATTATTAAATATTAAATAAATTGATTTAAATAAGTAAAACAAATCATTCAGACAAATAATAGAAACAATAATAATTTCATTTGCCCCAACCTTCCAGCATTTAAAGGCCAAGATTAAATGGGAAAAGAACACACAAAATACTAAGCATTGGCCTTTTGTTTTGCTGAATCAATTATTGAAGCTGCAATCTAAAAATAAAAGTCCAGTGTTAAACTGCTGAAACAGCAATAACAGAAGACTGTGGAATTCTTGATGCTATCTGAGATTGATTGTTTGCAGACATTTCATTACCCAACTAGGTTACTTCATCAGTGCTAGAAGGTGTGTAGATTGCTCCTTATTTATATTCAGTTGCTTGCCCTCCTATGGTAGTGTTGAAGGGATATTTTCACCACAAGTAGGTTAGGACAGCGGTTGTCAACTGGTGGGCCACAGAAAAATTGTGGTGAGCCACAGAAGAAATGGCCCCCAAAAGCAATTAATCTGAGCCGTGCAGTTCTTGCGTCTCCCAGCTCTTCAAGCAACCACAGAGTCAGGTCCCTGAAATGCACGTGCCAACCAACTCTCACACATGGTGGCGGTGGCAACAACAGTCCCCTCCCCCGGTGCCCACTGTCATTTCTCACCATTAATTCTGTTGCTGCTACTGCCATGTGTGGGAGCTGGTTGGCGCGTGCATTTCAGGGACCTGACTCCACGGTCGCTCGAAGAGGCAGGAGGCACAAGAACGAGTGGGAGTGTTTGATGGTTTCAAAAAATTCCTATAATGTGGTAGATTGGCGTTTTGTAGGTCTCGGTGAAAGCGAGCTTTGTTTCACCTCCTTTCCTTCCCGTGTCGTGTTCAGCTCAAGCCGCAGCTCGACACCATCACGTGTACCGGCTGGTGAAGGATAGCCGCAAGTGAACCCTGCCACAAACTCTCCAGGCCAGCTATGATTTCAGCTCATTACAAATTTTCAGGTCCCCTTCTTGTCCCACAGCAGCAGCAGGCGGTAACAATATATGTCAGCACGGCATCAGCTAGCCATGATGCAACACCCAGCTGATTGCATCATCACGATGGATCCGAGCTGACTGAAGATCGCTGAGCCGATACGGAGGGCAGGCAGCGTGTTAACTTGGTGGAGGGAATCAGAGGTCCACTTATTGTAGCACAGCCTAGTGATGGCACATTGTGATGTGGGACAGCAGAGTTAGCTGTCACCAATTAGGAGCGGGATGCTGGCTACCTGTGGGGCGGGGCTGCCGGAAGTGGGGATGCGATTACCGGGTGGGATAAATAGAACGCTGGGATCGATGAACATATTTACATATGCTCACTGCTTCTTCCTACCGCTACAGCTGTGATGGAATAAACCACTGTTATTTCTTTGGATTCTGTGATTATTGCTTCATCTGCGTGGCTGGCCACAGACCCTGGTAATGTGAGAGGGGGAGATATGAAATGACAGGAGACAAGATTTGTGGGGGCTCTGGTTTTCTTCCATTTGAGGGAGAACCGGTTACTTCCCAGCCTCCAGGCACCATGTGGTTTCTTTTGAATCCCAGCAGTAAGGATGAGAGAAGTCCTTTCTTTCCCTTTGCTCTGCCCCACAGTTATAATTAAGCATTTACAATTTTGTTATAAATAAATAAATAAATATATCCCCAAATTTAAAACTGAAACAACTGTAAAAGTCTGACTCACAGACGAACACAATACAGAAGCCTGATGATGGCAGATGAGATTCTGCCGAAACGTTGCTACAACTCTAAAAGCACAACTATAATGACGTGGGAAAATACCCGAACAAAGCTGAATACTATATCTATCTATCTATCTACCTATCTATCTATCTATCTATACACACACACACACATATATATATATAAATTAATTTTTAAATATTAAATTTAAATTTAATATAAAAATATTTTTTATATTAAATATATTATCTTTTTTAAAAAAATTGTATTAAACCAGGTGACCCCTGGTTTAGGAAAGTACTGTTTCTTAATTAGAGCATTTATTTATTTGTTTGTTTGTTTATTTGTTTGTTTGTTTTGCCTGGAGTTGATCCCTGCTCATCAAGATATTGGCTGCTGGAGAGGATGTGTTCTAGTCTTTCTACTTCCTTCTTAGTTTTCTTTTGAATGGCATGTAAAAATGGTTTAAGACCTCCTCACCAACACCAGCAGGGCAAGCTACTGCATATAAACGGGGCAAACCACATATTCAATAGCACTGATAATGTTATCAGGTAAGGTAATGAAATGTCTGCAAGCAAACAACCAAGCTCAGAGTGCACCAAGGATTTCACAATTCAGTGCTATACTTTCTTTTACTGGAGATTATTTTTTCTTCCTAGTCTAGATGGTGACTAGCGAGCCTGCAGTTAGTGCTCATTTCTACAGTTTCAGGAATCTGGAAGGGAATTTTGAAAACCATCTTAAATTACAGAAATAAAGAGTATCTGTAAACATTAAAATGAAATAACAATTATTCCAACCTTACCTTGATATTATCAACAAGAGAGAGATATTCTGGATTTTCTGGATCTCCGCATCTAAGTTCAGATAGATAATCCTCTCCAGAACTCTCCAGATCTTCATGACTGTACTTATCCAGGAGATCCACAGGGAAGGCCATCCCTTTGGGAGAGTTCACAAACACATACAGGATTATTGCTGTAATCATTACATCCTGGGAATCCAAACTGAGTTTTTAAAATTTGTATGTATATCAGGATAGCCCTCTCCAAACTGATAGTCTCCGGATGTCTAGGAACTGCAACGCATTTAGCAATGACAGGCTAGGTTTTGCAACTTAGTTCCAACACATCCTCAAGGTGTGAAATTGGAGAAAACTACTTAGAAATTTAAAAAAAAAAAACTGCATACTATCCCACTCACTTTTTGTACCCACTTAGAACATGTTATCTAAAGTATACATGCAGCAGCTCAGAATTCCCATGTGAATATACACGTAGTCCTCAGTTTACAAAAGCAATTGGAACTGGAATGGCCATTGCTAAGTAACATGATCATAAAACACATCACATTATCATACCACTTAGGGACAGGAGTTTCAGCAGCGCTGGTTACTATCATTAAGCGAGGACCTCACATGACCAACATCCAACTTCCTGCCAGCTTCCCCATTGACTTTGACTGTGGAAAGCCAGCAAGGAATGTCAGAAATTGCAATCATACAACCATGGGAATGCTGTGATAGCCCGGAACTCCAAGGACTATAAGTCTGCTCATTCAGCACGACTGCCTTTTTGAACAGTCACTGAATGAATGGGCATAGCTATGGTAGAATTGTATCTTGATAAAGACTAAATAATTAACTACATCAGTAACTCCATGCTTGATCCTACTACTCTGAACCACATATTCCATCTTTACCATATTAACTTCATTTTCATTTAACCTGCATTTATGAAATGGGAAAACACTTGAAATAAATTCTTAACTCTTTAATTCTCCTTGCGCAAGGAATTAAACATTCTTATTATCAGAATGTATTTCTATATCAGGCAGAGAAAGCATTTAACTCACATTATCCAACCAAATTTTCAACCAACATGTATCTATATAACAAGGACAATAAGATCAAAATTACCAACTGAAGCCAATGAAAAATGCAAATGTTGAGCTGAAAAAATTATACTAAGCTTCATTAATACAAGAGAAAGAAAATATCCTCTATATAAAAATGCATTTGTTGCCTTTAAACAAATTAATAACTTAAATTAAACATAATTTAAGTTTGGGGGAAAGTCAGTTCTTTTGTTATTATGCAATTGATAATAATCTTTATTTAAATCTATATTCTCCCTACTTCCATTTCATGACTTGAAAAGAAAAATCAAATGTTTCCCTTAATGCCCAAGAATTATATTGCAAAATTAGTTACTGTGTTTATTTAATTTGCACGCTCTGAAAGAGGGCATTTAAAAAAACCTCTGCCCTGCTTTAAGATATTGCAGCCAGATCTACATGCTTTCAGTTAATCCACTCCATCTTTTCTGGAGCCCTCTTAGATCCTGCCTTTCCTCTAAGGAGCTCATAGCAACTTATATGAAATTGTCTTTCACTTTAACCTCACCACCACCAACAATGCCAGCTGACAATGTTTTGCAAAAAGCCTTCCAATGAGTTCCACAATTAATTGGAGATATTTTTCAGGGTCTTTCCAGTCCCAGTACAACATTTTAATTACTGCACCATATTTTATTATTCTGTATATAAATTTGGTTATAACAATCTATACCTATGGAGATTGGGGATGGTATCCATGAAAAATCAAAAGTAACACCGCCCTATTTTGCAATTTTCCATCTAGATATTTTCTTAAAATAATTTCCTGAAATTTGATAATTTAACAAAAAATGGATTAAGGCTCAAATTTCCCAGCAAAGTAATTATTGTTTCAGGTGAAGAAGCAACATCCATATTCTCTTGCTCTCCATCATTGCTTATTTGAAATACATTACAGTATTTTATGTACTCTGTTTTCTTAGAAACAAAACAAAAAAACAAATAGAATGTGCAACAACACAATAGCAGTTACCAGCAAACGCACAAAAGATAAAAATGCCTGCATAAAGGGTGAAGCCTAAAAAATTAAGAGCCGTGGTAGCGCTGTGCTTAGAATGCAGTATTGCTGCAGGCTAGCTCTGCGCGCATCGCCAGGAGTTCAATTCCTTTTATCCTGACCAGCTCAAAGTTGAGTCAGCCTTCCATCCTTCTGAGGTCGGTAAAAAGAAGACCAAGATTGTTGAGGGCAATATGCTGAGTTTGTAAACTGCTTAGAGAGGGCTTTAAAGCACTATGAAGCGGTGTATAGGTCTAAGTGCTATTGCTGTTAAGAAATGCAATCTAAGGCAGGGACTTCCAAAATCAGAGTTTGAAAAAGTCCACCATAAGGGAAAAGGCACACCTGTTGGATTAATTGCCTGAGCCTTGAACTAACACCTAAAGCACTTCAGTAGAGATACAAAAGGCTGGGTTCACAGATACCAAGACAGCATTTCAAACTATGAGCCAGTTAATCTAGAGACAGAAAATGCAAGGGGACTTTTTGCCATAATTTAAAAAAAAAAGTGCCAACAATGTTCCAGAGGATACGCACGTCATTTCTAAAAAAGTTACTAAGCTAGGATTAAAGAGTAAACTGGATGAACTTTCACACACATAGACAAAGACACACATGCACACACACAAATATGTGGGTCTCCTCCCAAACAGCTTACAGCTAAAGTACAATTCACAAGTATCTTTTCATCTAGCCATCATATATTTTAAAGGTATTCTCTATTAATTAAAGTTCCCTAAAATAGTTAACAAATTAAGGAACAGAAACCAATTTAAAGAAAAAACATGTTTATACATGTTTTGTGATTAAAACACAAGAAATAAAAATTAGCATTTTAACAAAAAGGAGAACATCACAGCTGAAGTTTCTATGGTGATGTTTGACTGCCTCAAAAAAGAGCAATCATCTGTCACTACATAAAGTTTCTAGTCATTCTTATTTTAATAAAACAGAAAACAGAACCCAGAATATGAGAGGGGGGAGGGAGGAGAGAGAGAGAGGGGGGGGGAGGGGGAGGGAGGGAGGGAGGGAGAGAGAGAGAGAGAGAGAGAAAGAGAGAGAGAGAATGAGAATGAATGAATATGAATGAGAATGAGAATGACTTACAATCATTTTCAATTACTGAAATGCTCAGGAAGAAGAAATAAAATAGAAGTTACCCATCTATTTTCCAGGAGCTCAGTTTAAAGATCTTCCCCTTTGCTGTTTCTTTCATGGACCACCCCCTCAAAAAAAGGCAAAAATACAATTTCAAAAAACAAAATTATCCATTGGACTATTGCAATGGTTCTTTGTTTAAAGAGAGCATCGGTATCTCCCTCTTAATAGCCCTGGAGGCAAAGCTAGAAAAATGTGCTGTTTTCATACAGTGGAGCCAGGAAATTCTATAGTGGGACATACCAAAGCTATTCCAAAGGGTGGAATCTTACAATCATAAGGCCTCTAATCTCCACTGGGAACTATTTTCTGTAATATTCTCCCTGGCTAAATGGAACCTGCAGCCAAGTTATGAAAGTTAAATTTATATGCTTTATAAAGGAGAATATGGAGGACTAACGTAGTTACTGTCTGCCAGAGGTATTTAAGTGGGGGATACCTAATGTGGTTGTCCTAGTCTAAAATGAAGAGTTTTTGGTGGGGTGGACTTATTTGGAGTCTCATATGTTAGTTTGATGCAAACCCTGATCCATTTGGAGATTAAGACTTCAAGCCTAAGTAGGGATATCAGAGGGCAGAAGGGTAGATTCCTGGTGAAAAACAACTTCACTTTAGTTATGAAGGTTGGGTCTAACACAGAATGACGGTGTCCAGCTGGATGATGCTGAACACTTTCTTTGCTGAGAGCGCCCATGATTTCTGACACCCACTTGACAGGGTTCTGGCTACCAGAAACAGTACTTTGTAAGTCAGATGCTCTAAGAGGGGGATGTCAAACTCAAGGCCCGGGGCCTGGATCCAGCCTGTGGGGTACTTAGATCTAACCCGCGGGGCTGCTCTGGAAACAGTGAAGGATGGCTTGCAGTGCTTCTGCCAGCGAAAATGGGTTCCCAAGCTCCGTTTTCACCTGCCACAGCCTCCTGCAACCCTCTGCCAGTGGCACAGGGTTACAGGAGGCTGTGGCACCCAAAAATGGAGCTTGGCGCCCCCACAGGCGCCGACAGGAGTCATGTTGAGCTGACCACACCCACCCTGGCCACCCCCACCTCCTGAGGCCAAACACAATGGTGATGCGGCCCTCAATGATATCGAATTTGACATCCCTGCTCTAAGATTAACCTGTCTAAAATTTCAAACAAGTCTTAAGTTAGAGTTTGAAGTACTAGCTGAAGTTCCCATAACAGATACCAGTAGATAGTGAGTCTTTGAATAAGGAGATCACTGCTCAGGAAGATCCTGACAGAAGATAACTGCCTTGATTCCCACTACTGAAGTCTAGGAGAGGGCTGAGACTTAATAAATTGAGGGTGTTTGATTGGAGTCCCTTGCTGAGGCTTTTCTATAGTAGTAGAAGCTGAGGTGAAATTTCTTTTCCTTGGCCCATCTGCAGAAACTCATTGTTGACGGTTTCTCCCTTTTGGTCCAGGTGAATTCTTATTATCTGAATTGAAGTCTTGAGGAAGCTATAATAGCAATAGGATTTAGACTCATATACCACTTTACACACTTATATACAGTGCTTTATAGCCCTCTCTAAGCGGTTGACAGATTGCTGATTGCCCCCAATAATCTGGGTCCTCGTTTTACCCACCTCAGAAGGATGGAAGGCTGAGTCAACCTTGAGCCTGGTAAGATTTGAACTGCCAAATTCCAGGCAGCCGGCAGGCAGAAGAAGTAGCCTGCAGTACTGCATTCTAACCACTGCACCACGGTGGCTCATGGTCTGTATGGTTTGGCTACAGCACCCTTGGCTGAAAAGATAGCCCCACTCAATCTCCAAACGTATGCAGGTAGTCCTCGATTTACAACAGGTCCCTTAGTGACCATTTGAAGTTGCAACAGCACAGAAAAGAGTGACTTCTGACCATTTTTCACACTTATGACCATTGCA